AAAAAAAAAAAAAAAAGGGAAGTCACTTGGGAAGGACTTGTACGTGGAAACACCTAACTTTCTGCATTGAGGAAGTGCTGCTTTTTTGTTTTGTGAGGAGGAGCTGCTTCTCAAGCACTAACAAGTTTTCATGCATGCTTTGCTTGCTACATTAACATCAATCTGATGGGCACTGAGGTCAGCACTGCCACTTGGTCACTTGGACAAAACACTTCAGTATTTTACTATCCCAATTTCACACCCACAGCCAGCGTGCACGAAGACTGATCTTGTAAGAAAAACCTGTAAAAAACCTTCACGTAATAATGCAATCCTCTACTGGCTAACAGCACACAGTGGACTATAGCCCTCTGAATAAGGGAGAGAATGGAGAGTTCAAAATGAGAAGCATTCCTCTTTTCAAGGCAGCTATGAAGAGCTCTGCTATTGGCTGGACTACAATTACTACCAGCTCAATACTGGACCCTCCACCCTGTTTTTAAAAAACAATTTGCACTTGTACAGAATGGATCTAAYACCTAAGCTTTTTCTGTTCCTGTGTATTATGATCCTGTAAAACATGCAGCTGTAATCAAGATTTTGCTATGGTTAATGGTGCTGGCATTTACAAGTGCAACGAAAAACAGGTTCAGTGGAGCAAGTTACCAGAATTGCTGATTGTATTACAAAAATACCATGTAAATCCATTTGAGGTATTCCAGTACCGCAGAACAGCAGTTTCTCAGGCTCTTTAAATAAACAAAAAATAAAAAAGGTCTGCCTGAAGATAAAGGTGATGGCTACATTTTAATGTGTTACTCCATCACTGTGTGTATCCAAAATCCTACTTCTCATAAACTTAACATTCAGTCTTCAAAAATAAGAAAAGTGCTCACTTCTAGGCATGCAAAATGTTGCCTGTGAATCGCTCGAGTATAGGCAGCGTGACAAAACAAAGTCACTTTCATATATTCAGCATCAAGGCAGCATAAACTTCTCCTTCCTTTGGTTTGATCCAAGACAAATACACATTTAGAAAGGACAAATTTTTAAAAAAACCCAATGAGTAAAATATGCAAGATTTCCTAAAAATAAAAATATACTGCTGATTTAAAGACAGTTTCTTGATTTTTTTTTTCAACTCAGTGACATTTTAAAGTGCAATATAGGTATCTGTTTAGAAATGGTGAACAAAAATTTAAGAAAGTTTCTTCCCATTTAAGGGCAAATATGGAAGTTGCAGCATCTCTCTATAAAGATCTGTCTCTAACTGTGAGAGCAGATTACTTGAGAAAACATTGTTCTGGTGTTTCCAACATTAGAAGCATCTCACCTTTTTCCTTCATTTCATGCTATTCCCAAATTCTGTTTCATTTTTTCATATACAACATAGCTGATGCTGACAGCAGGAAGCACTTTCATAAAATTAGGAGCTATGCCCCTATAAAGTCCTCGGAGTCCCTCTGTAGCAACAATTCTTTGAAAGAGACCAACCATGTTTAGCTGTGGAGCTCCTTCCACCGAGGCTAGAACAAAAAGATAATGTGTTATACAACAATTCTAGCAATATTTAAATTCTTGAGCAAGTATCAAACACCTGGATGGTGATCTTACTATCACCTCTAGGCCACTGAAAAGAGAACTTTTAATCCAGGACATTTGGGAGATATCCATGTGTGTAAATCCCACTGAAAAGTATTGTCCACCTATGTTCCTTTGGAAATCTAGGCTCCCATCCTTACGCTGTACAGAAACCCAAGCAAAAATCTCAGCTATGAAAACTGTCTTTATGAAGTGCCCTTCAGAGCAAACATTGCTGTCTACCCTCACAGGACAACCCAAGCCCTGTCATTTAATCTCTAAAATTTAGAAAACATTCTAAGGTTTAGAAAAGCGCTTTCATACAAGACTACAGACACAGAGCCCCTGACTTAGTCTGAAATGTGGGTCTCAGAATATACAAATATACAAATATACAGAATATACAGTGTTGAAATATTGCTTTTAAAACTGATTATGAAGAACAATATTGGGGGGTAAGAGGGAACAGGGACCAACAWTAGGAAGAATTTTCCAGGTAAGTCCTTGGTTTCCAAAATTGGTTTTTTTTTTTTTAATTCCTATGTGTCTGCTAGAGCTATCCCAAAGGATACAATTTTAATGCTCCCAAAGGAGCATTTTCAATACAAGAGAACTCACCTTGAGCCTGCATGCGTGTTCTGATAAGAGCAAGAGGGTAACTGGCTAACTGCCCACATGTGCTGGAAGCAGTGCCACATCCCAACAATACAAAAACACCTGGGTTAGCAGAGCTTGATGCACAGTGTTCTAGCCATGTACTCTTTAAGAGCTGCCAAGGTATAAAATTAAGCAGTAAGACAGAAGATCTGCATTCAAAAAGGTAAACAAATACTTCTTTATTCATTAACAAATCCTATGGGCTCAATCCTGAAAAGCACCAATCTCTCTAGGCCAGTCCTACATACTTAAAGTGCACAGGTGAACACCTGAGCATACAGGGAAGGACTTCAACCAGACTACAACAGTTAGTACATAGAACAGAAATTCTTAAAAGATCCAGCAGGAGGAACAGTGCCCATGTACCTGGCATACTTTGGGGAGAGGAGGAGGAAACAACTCAGCACCCCATGGGGTGCAACAAAAGCTCACACAGCTGTGCACATCATCCCATGCAGAAACAAAGATGCAAACTGCAAAAAACAAATTCCATGCAGCTTTGAAAATGTTTGTATAAGCAGTTCTGGTGATTACTAATGCAGTGTCAAAAAAAGATTTGTCTAGACTAGAAAATAAATTTGTGTGCACATCTGAGTTATTTAACACACTCAAAAGCAACACATATTATCTAAGGTAGATAAAAGATTTTCAGTATTGCTGGTAGGTGAAATAGGTGCCAGTTTCTCTTGAAAGCAAAGACAGCAGTGTTTCAAACTCCTCAGAAAAGCTGTGTCAGCCAGAAAGAATTCTGGTGACAKGTACAGACACACAAGGAATTCAGGTTAATACAATCCACTCATAAGTCAGACAACTGGGGAAAAAAAAAGTATAAATTACCATAAATGCAGGATAGGTACCACAACATGGATTTCTTTTTTAAGGCCCATATTTACTGTAGAATGAGTATGCTCCAGTCTAACAAGGTTAGGCCAGTGTGCAAGCCTSTTGTACTGCCAAGGTCTGTATAATCCCATCTTAGTACATTTTCTATGTGGTACTGTTGCATGGAAAGGCCCATCTGCCCAGGCACTCCTCAAGAGCAGCAAATACAAACACTGAGGTCCAGTAATGTTAGTGGAAAGTCTCATTTGTCTATTTTAAATTGAACCAGCTGTAATACTACATTACAGTACAATAGTTCTAAAGAATATTTACACTTTTTAAAAATTAACTAACGATGGCTACATGCATTAATGATCTAAACTCACCTCATAAACAGCAAGATCAATGCCAGCATAAGGAATTATACCCAGAATATTAGGAATATAGCCTTTGTAGAAGGCCCTTGGACCTTCTCTTTTTAAAATCTTCTTAGCACAGTCAAACATCCCCGAATATTGCCCTGTTTTACTCACAGCCAATCTGGTCTTTAAAACCTAAAAGGAAAAAAATAGCAGCCTTAATTAGATACCTGTTTATTCATCTATTTTATGTACACAGCATATCTCTGCTAATTCAATTCCCTAGAACTGCTTTGCACTTTGGTGCTCCAACTCTCCTTTGATTGCTGCTAAGGCGCTGCTAGCAGCATGCTTCTTCAGGGCTGTCCTTAGTGCAGAGCACCACATGTTACCTTATCCTAGCTTACAAATTCTTAGCCATTTAAAATTGCATTTTAGCTTTGTTTCTTGATTAAAACAGGCAGTCATTTAATCAAATTGAAGGYAACAGTATAGGCAATATTCAATACAAGTATTAGCTAAGGAACAAGTGAGAGCACTAAAATGCTGGCAGATGACACTTCTGGTCTAGAAACACTAAAGCATGTTATGAAAATAATCTTTCAAAAAGCATGACACTTAGAGAGGCAGTGAAGGAATAAATATAAGGATTCTGTCTCACTACTGAAACCCAGCACCTGATTAATAATGCAACCAAGTCTGTTCTGCATCTTAGGACAAAGAAATAAATAACAGCATSCAACAAAAACCAAAGGAAATTTCCTGAGCAACAACTTGGTCTACTTTAAATCCTCATAAAACTGCATCTTCCTCAGGAATTTCCTGGCTCTTGGCTTTTCTCTCTTACTTAGAAGCATCCTAAAAACACTTCTAGGACTGTACCATAAATTTGTGAGGAAGACCAGAAGATATTACTGTGGAATAGTTCACCTGCCTTCACTGATCAGTGTAATCCAGACAATCTACATCACATTTCAGTAACTTAACCCATCTCTGTACTCAGGTCAGCTGGGATTCTGCCTCTGGAACAGCAAGAATGCTCTTGAAAGAGATCATTATCACTTCAGCAATGAAAAGAATTCTATTGCTACTGAAATCCCTACCTATGAAAAKCGATTTAGGTTACACTTACCATTACTACCAAACTTGATGTTGGTATTGGTTKAGYCCCAGACCCAACATCTATTCCAACATGTATGTGCACATGTGATAAACTTTCTGGAGAATGAGCAGTATAGAAAGTACATCCTATTTCTGTGAAATGTTGTGTAGTAGTTACACTACAGCAGTTAATGTATTAACACTAGTTAAATTGCAATACCTACAGATATCTCTACAGGGGAAAGAGCAGCCAATCCACCAAGCAACAATCTAGATACTAATGCAGTACTCCATACAAAGCCATGCACACTCAGGGACAGTTTAAAACACATGACATATAATTTATGAGCTGCAGCTGTTAAATCCTTCCTTCACACTGTTCTCCCTCTCAGACACAACCTCCCATCATAACACAACAGAACTTCAGTTCTGTCCCGACAAGACTATTCCTTGTTTACATATAGTGAGAAAAGGATTTATGCCCACTTTAGAAAATGCTTGTATACCGAATTTTAAATATTCTTGGGTGATTTTTTTCCTGAACTAGGGTGATTTTTTTCCTGAACTAGGTTTTATTTAAATAGTGTTTTAAAAAATATACAGTGAAACACATGGAAGAATTACAAGGATCAGTTAGAACATAGTATATTCTAAAATGCTCAGCACTGAAATTCTCAAAGGAARTCCAAAGTAAAAATAAATTAGGATMTAASACTARAAAGGAATTGCAATATTTTCAGGAGCAAAATGGGGTTTACTTTGGAAAMAAACCAAACATTTGGCAGGCTCCAGTGGAAGCAGATTCCCTGTTACTTACCTCCATGGGATAAATAGAAGTTTGTGCTGTTGCTCCAGCCAAAGAACCGGACACAAATCTTTCAACCGTGCCTAACTTTCCATCCTCTCTAGTGAGTATCTTCTTATACTGTATAGTTWAAACACAAAATCAACACAAGCTTTTTAGGAGTGGCAAGAGTTACTACAAAAGGCAAGAGGACAGTACAAAATGTCTTTTCAAGCTGTTCTAAGTTTTTCATGCATTTACAGTTACATTTGCAGACCCAAAAAAATTCTCCAGAACATAATAAACATTCCWGCCAGCAAGAATTCTTTAGATTAAATACTTTAATCACCCACAATGCCATGAGGCATTCAACAAACAGCCAACTCAAAGGTACCTACATTAAGAACCCCGAAAACGAAACAAACTCCTTTGTAGATCCAATTGTCCAATTAAAGAATGAAAGATCAGCTAGCAATTTCACAGAGGCACTTACAGAGCTGTACATGCTGTGTCATTCCATGAGTAAAGAATAATGTGCCCAAGGTTCCTCTGTGGCACCAAAATCTGCTGCTCAGTCTTGCAACATCCCCAAGTTCATTTGATTTTTTGTTGCTTTAATTTCCTATTTGTACAGAGATGTGCAGTATGCTCATTTAGTCTTAGTTGAGGCACTAGCAAGCCCCACAGAGGAAAAATAAAGCTCATTTAAATACACCAGAATGGGAGTTCATTTTCCAAAGGAGGATTAGGCCTTAACATGATGCTTAAAGCTGATTCAGAGGTAAATATAACTCTGAAATCCAGGATGAGGGCATCATWCACAGCACTGTGATATTTGACTTTAAAGGAAACCGTGTGAGTTGAGCTGGYGTAATGTGTGATAGTTTTGCCTGCTGTCACTTTGCAACAACAATTTAGATACYAATGCAGTACTCCATACAAATCCATGCACACTCAGGGACAGTTTAAAATACATGACATATCATTTACTTGCACTGCTCATAATAAAACAGTAAAACCAGCAGAACAATAAGTATTCTATTACCATAATAGACTATTTTAAATTTGAAAGTCACTCAAATTACTACGGCAAAATCCCAAACCATGACAACAAGTCCTATATAATACAATAGTGTCAATAATGAAGAGTGAGAGTGATTTAGGACTTAATTTAGCATAATTTTCATTCCTGATTTGTCATCCTACCTGTTCATAAGCCCAGAACTTAATAGCTGTTTCAGGAGCTATTTTCACAACATTTACACCATTTCCTCTCCAAAGGGATCGGACACCACCTTCTTTCAACATTTGCTTGAAACCGCTGGCTATATTCATTTTGTTTGACTTTGAACCATGAACCTAAAAAAATCAAACCCAAAGTCACAGTAGAGAACACTGCTCTGATTAGACTATAAAACTTGTCAGTATTAAATTGATTAAATGTATCAAGTAGTGAAACCATATGCACTACTGAAAAATAAGATCTTATTTTAGCGGCACTAGTACTACAACATTATGGTTACTTTTTTTTCCAAATGTCTATAAAGGACACTAAAAATTGTCAAAACATAGCTGGACCTCTGGCATTTATATACTGAATTCGGCCACAAATTTTTCCTAACAGATCTCTTAAAACTGAAGTGATAAACTGGAAACCAAAAAAAATGTTGAAAATTGCACCTACCTGCATCATAACTTTAAGGCGATCTAAGGGTGCTGTACCTGTTCGAGAGACAGCACCAGCCACTCCTCCAGCCAACAGCTGCTTCCACCACTGCCCAGTCTTTTTCTCTTCCTCTGTGAACTCATCTGGAACAGTCAAACTATCTCCTATATCCAATACCTTTTAGAATCCAAAGCAAAGATATGCAAATAACTGTCTCATTCCAACACCTCAGTTTTATCCACAATTCTAATTCCAAAGCAATATACTACCTAAGAATGTGCAAATAAAGTGCTAGTTACAAATAAAAAACATCTCTAATCTACATTCTATAATTAACTTACTATGCATTGCTGTTCAATGAAAAGCAGCTTTAAGTGACTTCTACATAAATATAGAGCAATAACACCACAGACCCACCATTTCAAAGACTGCACCATCATCATTAAAAATTACAACAAATTTTCTCCTTAAGTATGGCCCAAGCAAAGACATTCTGTCATGATCAGCAGTCCTTTAAAGTCAGCACTAAAGCTCAAATGCTTAWATGTTGCAGCTAACCTTTCCCCAGACAGCCTTGTGGGATTAGTTTGGTAATCTCCTAAGGTTGCTAACAAGAGATTTCTCTCTCACGGTAATTCATTCACACATATGTGCCATGTCTCCTTCCCCCACCCTCCCCAACATTTTAAAGCAGGGTTTTTATAGCTGATACACCAGAATATTCTCTTTCCAGTAACTGCTGTGTATTATCCTACAAAATTAAAAGATTGACTAATGCTTTATAGATTTTTTCATCAGTTTTACTGAAAGGCACAATTAATTACACTTCTCAGCTATAGAAGTTTGAAATTTCACTAAGGGGGGCAAATTGTAATAAAAACCATTTGATTTGGTCAAAGAACAATATTGATACAGGCTTTAATGATTAAACTAAGACATAACACTATGAAATCTCACATGTTCCTTAAACACAGTTTTTGCTCTTAAGTGTAACATGATAYATGGAAAAAAAGTACACTGTAGATAATGCAAATTTGCTATTACACATAAATTAAAATTAAAAGAAGAACAAGAATGTATTAATAACTGTTAAGTACTGACGTGAAAGCGTGTTAACTGATAAACCTTCTAAATTAGCATTGAGTTTAAGTGTAGACACTATATCCCTAATTTATGCTGCATGCTCTATCTGTCAGTAGACAGAATACTGTCCTGGTCATTTGGAAAAAAAATTGCAGAATGCAGACTGTAAATATAGCCACTGGACAAAAAGGATAAGCACCAGCTATTCTGGATATTGAACACAGAACAGATTAATTGGAAAATTCATCTTTCTTGCATTTGGCATTTTGAAGTAAGGAATCATCAGTGGCTCAACTACATGGAAACASTAAAAGAACAATCAAAATTATCAAAATATAAATTCATTGTTCTTAGAGATATTATGCATTTCTTCCAGTGTTTAAAGCTTGTTTATAATGAGACCTAAATGCAACTAAGAAAAAAGAGATAAATTTGAAGGTGTTTATAACAGAAAGGCCATAAGCTACTGTAATAACTCTATGCCAATGTAGCTATCTGTTTGGAAAAGTCTGATAGCAATTAAAATTTAATAATAAAAACAGAATTGTAAGAGCTGCCAATGCCAGCCAGGCTGGGASGTCTCACATCTGCTCTTATCTGAAAAACCAGCTGTGTTGCTGTGTAGCTGGATTTTGCCTGCTGTGATAACTGGGTCATCAGCTGACTGCAACACTAAGATCACAGGAGACTCTCTCAGTTGTTTCTGGGGAGCAACTAATGACATTCCATAATAAGAAAWGAAAAATACAGATCTTATGTTTAATAACAGTAAGAAGCATTTTATTAAAGCTAAGGTTCTTTCCACTAAGTAACTGGGACCAGGATTATTTGATCTCATAGCAGTGTTTCAAGTGCTTTCTTCAGCAAACAGGGAGCTAACTCCCTTTTGGCAAGCATTCCTGAACTGAGGTTGTACAGTGTCAAATACTCAAGGCTCTCAGATCTCATAAACTGTTTTTTATTATGGAAATGCTGACTAATCCCTGGAGATATAAATGGTCTCACTATATTCAAAGAAATCTAACCTTACTTTTTTATGCCAAAAATCTACAGGAAGGATATTTAGCAAACAGGACTACTACTGGTTTACTTACTTTGTTATTGTTCTTAAAAAAATCAATCACTGAGGTGTCAACAACTCCATTCAATAAAAACTTCAAAAATTTCTCTGCACAGTGGGTAGCCTATTGCTGTATGTTGTGTATTCTTAAACTAAATTCTAGAGCACAGAAGAGCACGAAAAAGAAAATCACCAGTAAAGACACCAGTGATTTTTTGATAATTATAATGATACCATATAAATACAAATAGCARTTTCAAAATAACAATGTTAAAATGTCTACATAATTTGTTTCAACAAATAAAACGTACCGTAATGCACAAAGACAAATGTTTAATATTACAGTTACTATTTTTCTGTGGAATTTCTCTAGAAGAGGAAGAAGATTCTGTCCTAAAAATTACTGGTAATTATTTGCAAAGTTTAGATGAAGTTCTTCCTTCAGAAGAAACTCATATGACACAATCCTGCTTGTAAATGGGAGAGTTTGAAGTGAAAAGGAAAACCAAACTATACGGATATGCTTGAAATATAACATGTGTGAAGCTGTTACACTTAATATCACAAATTAACACAGCAGAGATGAACTTAAGAGCTGTACTAGGTTAAAAGAGAACTTGAACTTACAGTGGAATGTTTCCAATATCGAATTATTTCTTCWATGTCTGTAGCTGGATTAAACATAAAATGATCTCTCCACTCATTCCAGTCTACTGTCATTGTCCCATCAGCATCAATACTGAAAAGGAATTGAACAAAAGTATATCAGGAAACACAGTGATGGGGTTTCCTTCTGTATTTTTCTTTTTCTTYCCCCACTCCCCCACTTTTTTTAACTATGGGTGATCACATCGATAACAACTGACTCCAAATTCCACATAGTGACTTCAAGGCTGAATCTGCCACAGCCTTTCAATACTATGCTTCTCTTATCCAAGTGCATCTGTCATATTCCATTTGAAAACATAATATAGTGCTTCACTTTATCAACAACATTTACAGGGAAACAAAGTAACACTCTCCTCCCAGAACCAGATGCTCCAATAGTAACTACCAAYGCCTTTCAAAGTCATAATCCCATTTATCCCACTCTTCGAAATATAATAATTAACAATACAAGGAAGATTAAAATGTTTCCAAAAACAATAATTCCTGACCTTTGCAGGATCTTTTCTGCCTGTTTTTCTGAAATGTTTATACCCAATATCTTGAGGGACTGGACAATTTCAGATGCTTCAATTTTTCCTTGAAACATTAAAATAAAGAAGACACATATTTAAAACATGGATCTTAATCAGCTTAGTACCTTGGAGATCATYGTAACAGCCAAATAATTGCAAAGACAATTTAAAGATCAACTTGAACAGGATGTGCTTTGATTGTCTACCACAAGGACAAAGYAAAGGTAGGCACATTAAAATCATGCAACCAAATAGGATGGAAATACAGTTAGTTAAAACTAGTATAGCTAGAAATAGTTAGAAATTTCCTTATTGTTTTTCCATATGGGGAACAAAGAGCCCCAGTTCAGTGTAGTTGGAAGGAAACAGAATAAAGACTATAATAATTTATTTTTTYAATCTATAGCAAACTTTAATTATGATCTTGCTAAGGAAAAGAAGTAAGAGTTCCATATTCACAACTTTTTGTTTCCAGCTCAGACAAAGAATCTAAGTTAAACCACTTTTAATGCAGAGTTTCTTCCAACAATGTTGGAACAAATAACATAAATCAAGGCATACCATCATTGTTTTTATCCAGGCTCTTAAATGCCAGTTTCATCTTTTTCTCATGCTCTTTAAGATACTGCATAAATTCTTCAAAATCCAATTGTCCATCCTGGTTAGTATCTCCAGCTTTCAAAATTTTCTRTTGAGAGAAAAATGAATATTTGTCCAAATCAAAGCAGATCACAAAGCATAATTTTGTTTTCAGAATTTAACACACTCAATATTTGCATAGAGAGAGAAAGCACTCGGCAGTAAATATATTTTTCAGAAAGCATTATTTATTATTTATATAGCTTTCCTGTGCAGAAATTTCAAGGTTTCTTACCACCAATGGCAAGTTATACCTACAGGTATCAAATAATTTGTGGAGGAAGATGGGGGACAGGAGAAAAACCTGAGAGAGAACAAGCTTAAGCCTGTTAGTCTCCTGTACATAAAATTTGTCAGAAAAATTTAACAAGCAGAACCTTGGCTATCATCTAAATCAASTGATCCATTAATTATGAATTATAAAGATAAAAAATACAAACAGCAATTAACTATTTAAATGGTGAGCAAAAAATTACAAAGATCTTAGCGCACTGGCACATCCAGCCCCCAGGGTTTGAGAGAACAGGGCTTTCCCTTTTGAACTGAAGCCCTGACTACAATTTAAACAAAGTTGTAACAAATACAAACACACTTATCTTCCTTTCTTACATGTACTTCCTAGGAATTGTCCTGCACATAGAAACATCTACATGTACAATTAACTATGCATTGAGCACATGGTATGCAATGCCAGGACTGCAKGAAACAAGTCTGAAACACAGCCCAGGCAGACACTTCTCTACCAACACAGGACCAGAAAAYGTAACTATCTGTGTGTGAAAACTTGCTAGAAAAGAGAAATTACAGCAGTCCTGCAAGCATCAGCCTCTAATTGCTGAGGCTCGAGGCAAAAGCCAAGGAAGCTCTGCAGGGTTCAGGAGCTTGGGCTTTACACCACAGCAAGAGCAGCTCTGGACACGGAGAGTCAAGGCCACAGCTGCTGCCATCCACTCCTCACCCYGCCACAGCACTGCCCTCTCCTCTGGCAGGAGACACAAAAAACCAGGCACCCCAGAACCCCACTCTAGAACACAAGATTTAAGGAAACATTATGTCTTATCCCCTCCTTTGGGTATTGGGCCCTGTGGCTTTCCTCCATGTGTGAAATCCTAGTGGGGCAGCCCTCAGCATCAGCCAGACAGGATTCCAACCTAACAGCACCATCTCCTCTAAAACTATTCTCCTCTAGAAAATTTCAGAGCACAGGTTACATGTAAAGCATATGCCAAAAATTCTCCCAAGTATCTTCTATTCAGCAGACTGCCTTGCGCAACTGTAGTTTCTGAATAAAGTAACTCTCAACAAGATTTGCATGGCCTTTCTAATCTGCAAAATCTGGTTTTAATTTTGTTTACTCCTCTTTAATTAGAAGAGGTCCTCAAAAGACCAAAGTCCAACAAGTTCTAGGCAAAAGAAACTAAACACAGAGGAAGCAAAAAACTGGTGTATTTGTTGCAGGTGTCTGAAAAGACTGAAGACATCTGAATACAATTATACTGCCACCTTCATCTTCCCTGTCCCTCTACAAAAAGTAATGTACTTTCACATTTCATCTCAAAACACCAAAAATGTGTAAGATTATCAAGAATTTCACGATTAAATGGAGGAAAATGACGCAGTGCATCACAGTGAAATAAGCAAATTATTTMCCTCCCCTAATACAGCAAGTTGYGCACAATAAAAATCMACTCAAAGCCAAACAAAAAACTAACCRAAGCCAAACATTAGAAATTACTCYAKTCTGAAGAGTCCCCTCCCAGAGACACTGCAMTCTCAAGCCATCTTTTACTCCATGCATGGCACCTCATGCCTTAGGGTTGGAGTGTCCTGCTGGGCACCCACACTCTCCTGAGAAGAGGTGACTTATGTGGCACTTGTAATCACTTTGTATGAGTTCTTCTCAATTCAAATTCTTACTGTTCCCTACTCCTATCTGAACTACACAAACCAAAATGCAGAACAAGCTAAGTGGTTTTCCGTCTCAAAAGCTTGAACTAAATTATAATAACAAAACCTCCACTGCMGAGGATGATGTGAGCCAAAGATAACAGGAACTCCTATGAAGTTTAGAGGGCTGGCAATTTCTGTGTGTGAAGGGGTGCACCTTTCAGTTCATCTRCCAAAGACATGGATTTCATATTGCAACAATGAGAAAAGGGTAAGCACAAATATATTCTCCATTTCCTACTTTTGTTTTGACCGTTATTTTCCAGACTTCAGGCCAGTCTCAGGGCAGCAAAACAGAAATGATAGGCAACAGAAAGGTATGGCACCTAAAAGGTCACATAAACAAAAGCCTCTTGCTGTCTATGAAATGAACTAATTATGTGGGTGTTAAAGTTTCAGATTAAAATCAGTTTTAATTTTTAATTTTGCAGATTAAAAAATTTGCAAGTTTGTGGAACTAACAGGAGCACTTGTTAAGAAAGAAAGAAGCTTGTCTTCTACTTGGCAGGCAGAAACTTCCTCCATGGGCACAGCCAGTAGAAAGACACCTTCTTCATTCTGTGGGAAGCCTGGCACACAAAGTCCTAGGTACAAACTGCCCCTTCACAGCATCAAACAGTAATTCAAGATGGAAGGCACCTCTGGAGTCCATTGAACACAATCCCAGCTCCAAGCATGTGTAATTAGATCTAATTAGATCAGGCTATGTGGGACCCCATCCAGTTGAGTCTTGGACACCTTCAAGGAAGGAGATTCCACAGCCTCCATGAGCAAATCATTCCATCACTCAATCACTCCCCACTTCAGCTCAACACTGAATACAACTMTGCTATTCTGCATTTAATATACTACCAGATTTTGTATAATTATAGCCACTTGTCACTCTGCCAATGCCTGGTTCACCAACCTCTCTGATGGAGGAGAATTGGATGCATTTTAAAATAGGCCTACTTACAACAATTGAGCAGGAACCAAGTAAGGTGCCAACACTTGCTTACAAGTCCTGGGAAACAATGTTCAGCATACCTGCCACATAAAACCTACCCTTTCTTGTTACAGCCTTACTGTGGGATCACCTCACCTTTACAAAAGCCCAGACCCAAGAGAAAAATGTTTCTTTTTCAAGGCACACCATTTCTTTTCTCATKGTCTAAAACCTTTTACCCCCAAGCAATAAGGATAGCTCACTGGATAAAATGAAATGGTGACCACATAAAGAATTGTTAATTACTAACAGATATAGGAAGATGCCTCGGATGATGACATGAGCTAGCAGTGTGTGCTTGCAGCCCAGAGAGCCAAGGCAAGGCTCCAGGGAGGCCTTACTGCAGCCTTTCAATACTTAAAAGTAAGTAGATATTAAAGAGATGGGGACAAACTTTTTAGCAGGGCCTGCAGCAATAGGGCAGGAGCAACGGTTTTTAACAAAGTGAGTGTCAATTTAGAATACATACAGGGAAGAAGATTTTCACAATGCAGGTGGTAAAACACTGGCACAGGTTGCCCAGAGCCTGKCAAATGCTCCACCCCAGGAAATATTCGAGGTGAGACTGGGTGGGGTTCTGAGCAACATGATAAGAGTTGAAAATGACCCTGCTTATTGCAGCAGAATTGGACTACATGATTCTTTAATATACAACCAATCACTACCAATCCAAACAATGCTATTATTCTGGGATCTTTCTTTTTAATGCTACAGGACTTCACACAGACTAAAATGYTCCTGTGCTGACCTATTCAGTTATAACACTGCTACCTTTGTCTTTTCTCCCCTTTTTTTTTCCTCCTAATTCTAGTACTTTTGTTTTTTTCTGTTGCATATTTTGTTGATACAGCTACTTTCAAAGTCCTGCAGGACTGGGCAACACCAATGCGAAGGGCCACAAGCAGACTGAAACACTGAAGGTATTTTTAAAAAAAATCTCCATTATATAAATCATGTTGCAGTGTTGAATTCCTACTCCTCCAGAAGACCTCTGTATTTGGTGTGGAAATGTAAGTCAGCAGGACTGTTAAAAAAAAAAAAAAAAGAATTACAGGCAGGCTTTATATACACATCAAAAACTCCTCACCCTCCTCTGTAAGTGTCCTGTTGAATTATTAGATTGCTCTATGCCAAAGCCATGAATGTTAACACATTCATGGCTACAATGAAAAGACAAGGAATGCAACACAACAGAAATCTTGACTTTTTAATGTAGATTTTCTTTTAAATTTACAGTTTAATTTTTACATTATTTAGTATCACTATTTCTGTATTGTGCATGAACCTTTACATTCTGTTTACAAAGCTGAACTGCGTGTGAAAGGTGGGGCTGCTGAGTACAAAGGATTATCAATATATTCATCAGCTTGTTATTTCAGCTAATTAATATAATGTAAAGAATGTTTAAAAGGAAGTGATKCATCATGAAGTAACTGGCTTCCTATCATGCTATCTTACAAAGACACAAGCACAAACAGCACTTCAAGAGACATAACTGGTGCAAGTAGCAATTATATGCTCTGCAATATGCAACTAGAGTTCTGAAGGGCACAGATRTGAATATTGCGTACAAACAACTCCAGTACCACAGTAAGAGCACCACCATATCTTCAGACATGCACAAATTTCACAGTTGCTTTTAAAATCAGAAGTACTATATATAAAACCAATAATCCTGACATTCCCTTTTTTCCCCTTTTTCAATTCTTCCCCTCAAAAATATTTTTTTAGTCATTCACATTGTTATGCAGTCTACAAGTTAAGTTATTCGACTGTAATATCATTGGAAGCCAAATTCAGTCACAGCTGAAGTACACACAACACTTCTCTCTCTACTGGACACAGAGCCRACAACAGTCCTTTTCCTATTCCTGCTAAGACTATACAAATTTATGCAGACTGTGATGACCCAAAAAACACAAGCAAAGATTATTGAAGTCAGCCTTGTCAAACTACATCAGGTGGCAGATACAGCCAGCATAAAGGGAAAGGGCCTGAGGATGTGTTCACACAGAGTTACAGCCCAGTGAGTTCTCATAACGCACAAACTAGACTGACACTTGACCTCCAGAAATCCAACACAACACTGAGTAAAAAAGGAATCTGCACTGCTTCCA